TCATACAAATTACAAAACTTTGGGGATTTTTTTTCTCGCATAGGTTGATTTTTTAGATACTAATATTATTATCACAGAACCATATTTTAACTTCACTTCAATTCAAGAGTCAATGAATGAAATTCTATTTGAAGAATATCAGTTCCAAGCAGTATTAAGAGTAAATGGTGAGTTAAAGTTTTCATTGAAATTGAGTTATATGAATATGGGTATGAATAGGGTAAAGAAACTCTTAAAATCCCTGAATACTGGATGCCATTCTTTAGGTATGAAGGAAATAAAACATGGAATTTTATTTTATTATTATTATTATTTTATTTTAACTTATTTTTTATTTTTTTGGTGGCTGGCTGGTAGGTGGCCTTGGAACCCTTGACCTTGGTGTTATCAGCACCATGCTCTACCAAGTGAGCTAACTGGCTAGCGCAAACATGGAATTTTAAACTAGATGGATCCTTAGAGATTATATAGTCAAAACTCTCTGTTTATCTTTTTTGCTAACATGATATTTCTCCTTAANGAACCCGTGGCCTTGGTGTTATCAGCACCACACTCTCCCGAGTGAGCCACGGGCCGGCCTATGGAATCTTTAAAAAAAAAAAAAAAAAGGCTTTTTTTATTATTTGAAAACAGAATGAGAAACACTCGTTTTGGATATACTAATCTTTTGGATGTACTAATCAATGGTGATGGTTATGTAAGGATATTTTTAGGAACTAAATTTTTAGGGGATTGTTATATTATTTGTTTCTTTGTTTCTAGGGTTATTCCTAACTGTCAGTTCAGGTCAAAAACAGCACGTCTTAAAACTTTTACTGCTAATCAGATAGATGAAATAAAAGACCCTTCTGGACTCTTTTACATCCTTCCTTTTCAAAAGGTAATCTAATTATGTTGTCTACAATTCATAGCATTGTAGACCTAAATTTAAAGACAATTTTCAATTGTATATATAAGACTGTGTGCGGATGTATGAAAATATTTTTAGATCTCTGAGAAAAGGTGACTTAAGTTTTAAATAAGATATAATTAAAACCAAAAATTGAAATTAAATTATTTTGTTCAAAATAAATGTCTGTGATTTAGTTACTAATTGTGAGTACTGAATTTTACCTAGGTTAAATCTAAGTGCTATGCACACATTCATTTAAGAAAAGTATAGAGAGGCATCTCTGTATATTGGTGTGAACTCTTTTGAACCCTTGAAATTTTAGTTATTGTTAATTTGTAATTTTTTGAACTTTTAAAACATTAGATTGGAAATGGTAACCATAAAGAATTAAAATTAATGATGTAGAATATATTAATCTAATTTTTAAAAATTGTTAAAAATAGTCTTGATAATTAAATTTTATAAAAAAATTTTTTAGGGATACTTGGTGAACTGGGATGTTCAAAGACAAGTTTGGGATTACCTTTTTGGAAAAGAAATGTATCAGGTAACAAGTTAGAGTATGTATTCAAATTCTATTTCCATGTCTTATTTGAATGAAAAATTAGAACTTATATTTTAAGATTTGTAAACTTATGAATATGTTTCCAATACATATTTTAGTCACGTAAATATAGCTTTGTCAAGCTTTTATTTTCTAAATATTTAATAAATGCAAGTGAATATAATTTCCATGTTGTAGTGGAGGTTGAGTAGAGATAGTCTATATGAAACTCAAGATTAAAATTTTACTTCAGATTTCTACTATTATTAGACCAATGTACTATATCATTTTCACAATTTTTTTTTTGCCTGCATATCTGAATGTGTGAATGTTACAAGAGAATTTTGTGCTTTTTATGTCAATAGTGTGACTATAGGTATACTGAGAAAATGTTCAAGTTTTAATATAGTACTTCCCAAGAATGTGTGGGAAAAAATTACATGGACTTTAAATATATGGCAGCTTCTTGCCTTTTTCCTTTTAAAAACAAAATAACAGCCCCAACACTTGGTGGTCATGTCATTCTTTATTTTTGCATAATTATCTTTCAACAATTTGACTACCATTAATTATTTTATTAATGCTTCCATTAAAAGAAGTAAAATTGCATAGTAGTTAAGTGCATGGATTCTGTAACCAGACTTCCTGGGTTCAAATTCTAGCTATGTTGATAAGTAGCTATATGAACATTCATAACTTATT